CTGAAAGAAACAATAAATGGGACCTCCTAAAACTGAGAAGTCTCTGTAAAGCAAAGGACATGGTCAACAAGAAAAAACAACAGCCTACAGAATAGGAAAAGATCTTTACCAACCCAACATCAGACAGAGGTCCGGTCTTCAAAATATACAAAGAACTCAAGAAATTGGTCATCAAAAGAACATGTAATCCAATAAAAAAAAACCCAAAACTTGGAGTAAAGACCTAAACAGAGAACTCTCAACAGAGGAATCTAAAATGGCTGAAAGACACTTAAGTGGTCAACATCCTTAGCCATCAGAGAAATGCAAATCAAAACAACTCTGAGATTCCATCTTACACCTGTAAGAATAGCCGAGGTCAAAAATACTGATGACAACTCACACTGGAGAGGATGTGGGGTAATGGGAACACTCTTCCATTGCTCATGGGAGTGCAAACTGGTACAGCCACTTTGGAAATCAGTATGGTGATTTCTCAAAAAATTAGGAAACAACCTACCTCAAGACCCAGCAATACCACTTTTGGGTATATAACCAAAGGATGCTCAATCGTGCCACAAAGACATGTGCTCAACTATGTTCATAGCAGCATTGTTTATCATAGCCAGAACCTGGAAACAACCTAAATGATCCTCGACTGAAGAATGGATAAGGAAAATGTGGTACATTTACACAATGGAGTACTACACAGCAAAAATAATAATAATAACAACAACATCTTGAAATTTGCAGGCAAATGGATGGATCTATAAAACATATTGAGTGAGGTAACCCAGACCCAGAAAGACAAATATAATATGTACTCACCCATAAGTGGCTTTTAGACATAAAGCAAAGAAAAACCAGCCTACAATTCACAGCCCCAGAGAACCTAGACAACAAAAAGAGGATCCTAAGAGAAACACTATCCTGAGTGAGGTAAGCCAGACACAAAAAGAGGAGCATGGGATGTACTCACTCATATTTGGTTTCTAGCCATAAACAAAGGACATTGAGCCTATAGTTAGTGATCCTAGAGAAGCTAAATAAGGAGAACCCAAAGAAAAACATATAGGCATCCTCCTGAATATTAACCTTCATCAGGCGATGAAAGGAGACAGAGACAGAGACCCACATTGGAGCACCGGACTGAAATCTCAAGGTCCAAATCAGGAGCAGAAGGAGAGAGAGCAAGGAACTCAGGACCGCAAGTGGTGCACCCACACACTGAGACAATGGGGATGTTCTATTGGGAACTCACCAAGGCCACCTGGCCTGGGTCTGAAAAAGCCTGGGATAAAACCAGACTCGTTGAACATAGCGGACAATGAGGACTACTGAGAACTCAAGAACAATGGCAATGGGTTTTTGATCCTACTGCACGTACTGGCTTTGTAGGAGCCTAGGCAGTTTGGATGCTCACCTTACTAGAACTGGATGGAGGTGGGGGTTCCTTGGACTTTCCACAGGGCAGGGAACCCTGATTGCTCTTCGGGCTGAGGAGGGAGGGGGACTTGATTGGGGGAGGGGGAGGGAAATGGAAGGTGGTGGCGGGGAAGAGACAGAAATCTTTAATAAATAAATAAATTTTAAAAAAATTTTAAAAAAAGAGAAACATACATGGATCTAATCTACAAGGAAAGTAGAAAAAGACAAGATCTCCTGAGTAAATTAGGAACATGGGGATCATGTGGAAGGGTAGAAGGGGAGTGGGAGGAAGGGAAAGGAGGAAAGAAAAATATATAGCTCAATAAAAACAATTTTAAAAAGATTTATGTTGGGGCTGGAGAGATGGCTCAGAGGTTAAGAGCACTGACTGCTCTACCGGAGGTCCTGAGTTCAATTCCCAGCAACCACATGGTGGCTCACAACCATCTGTAATGAGGTCTGGTGCCCTCTTCTGGCCTGCAGGCATGGAGGCTGAACACTGTGTACATAATAAATAAATATTTAAAAAAAAGATTTATGTTGCATTTATTAATGGAGGAGGTGGGAGGGTATACATGGAAATCAGAGTCCTCCTTCTTCCATGTGTCCTGAGGGTTAAACTCGGGTAGTCAGGTTTGGCAGCAAGCACCTTTACTCACTGAGCCATCTAACTGGACCTCTTTTCTTTGGCCATAAGTCTGCATTATAGAAACTTCTGTTTGTGAGCATCTCATCACATTGTGAGGTTAGTTTTATGGGATTAGCTGCTGCTGCTGTTTAATTTCGGCTTTCTCCGTGCAGTGACTGCTTTGCAGTGCTTGCTAGGGTAGACACACAGCCCTTCACTCCAGCTGCCAACAACCCCTGAATATGGGGTAAGTCATTATTTCTAGGTCTGATAGATATGTGTCTACCATGGCTCTGCCAGACTAACAAATCAAATTTCATCCTCAGTCCAGATCCTGGGACACCTGACACCAATGGAATCTTAAAAAAGCTGTCATGCTTAGAGGTCTCTGCTTCCTCACTGCCAAGTATCTACCAAACTTGCCCACCTAATTCTGTTCGTCTGATGAAGCAGCAGTGTCCACCTGTTGGTCAGCCCACCAGTCCATGCTGGTTAGAGGCAGCTGCTAGTCTTCAGTTAGTTCCAACCCTAGGACTATGAAGAAAGGACATGGTGTGATCATTCTATTTCATGAGACAAATCAATCATACATGCCCCACCTCCAGTTCTGCCTTTATAGTTAGTGGAACACCACCAAGAATCCATCAATATGTCACTTGTCAAACAGCTTCAAATGCAAATATTCAACTCTTTCTGTATCTTCATCTGCATTGTCACAAAAGTTTCTGGGATACTGCACAGAACTTAGATAACATTTTAAATGTCAGTTTTATTGTGGTCTAATCCATATACAACATGTAACTCATCTGAAGTGTACAATTTTAATGGTTTGCAGCATATTCAGAGGTGCATGAGAATCACAGTGACCAATTTCAGAACATCCCCACCCCACCCCACCCCCAAAGAACTATGCACCTACAAACTATCACTCTCTCTATACCCCACTCATCTCCAGGAATTCACCAATTGACTTTTTGTTTGTGTTGAGAGAATCTTGCTATGTAGCCTAGCCTAGCCTGGAACTCATTAGCATCCTGCTTCAACTTCAAGTACATGCTCTACCAGACAGGTCTAACTGACTTTCTTACCAGCACTCAAAACCTAATGGAAAATCTAGACTTGGGTCTAAACTAAAATTGATTTGTAGTTTTACAGATAAGAAAGCAAAGGCTCAGGGATTTCATTAATGTTCAGACTGGGATTTGTCCATATGACCTCAGAATCGGTTTCCTTTATACATTATGAAGCTCACATGGTCCACCCTCCCAAATTCTGTTTTTCTTATCTGAAACCAAGTCTCGCTTTGTAGCCCAAGCTGGCCTCAAACTCCTGGTACTCTCCCTGTCACTTCCTCTCAAGTGCCAGAATTGTGTGTACCACTACGTCCAGATACCCATTCAAATTCTGAACAAAATGAAAAATGCTAGTCAGGCATAGTGGAACATATTTGTAATCCTAGCACTGGAGAGGCTGAGGCAAAAGAATGGCTGCAAGTTCAAGACCAATCTGAATTACATAATAAATCCCAAGTTAGGCAGGGCTACAGAATGGGACTATCAGAGAGAAGAGTAGGGAGATACAGAGAAAAGCTGATAAACTGAGACTGTAGCTCAGTGGTGGTGTGCATGCTTAGCATGTGCAAGAGGCCAAGTTCCATCCTCAGCACCAAAATAAAAAGCTATAGCTACAGTTACTATAGTTATAAAATAAGATTTCTGTACTATCATTCCTAGTACATTAATGTAATAACTTCTATAAATCACCAATTGTGGTGATAGGTGATGTCTCTGAAAATATTAGCAGGGGAATCCTGATGTCATGTCAGATAAGTTCAGCTATCAGTAAACACAGAGTATCCCTGTGATGAGCTCCTGTATAGTGTTACTAAATTGAATTGACAAGGCTTCTGTCTCCCTCTAGTGGGAGGGAAGAAACAACAGAATACAAAAGGTCAGTTTTGTTGATGTGAGCAATGTGATTAAGTTGAAGGTAATGTGATTTAGGATGAAGACTTCAGATGAAAGAACTTTTGTTTACACTTACATCTGAATAACAAAAAAAATCAACTGTACAGATTAGAGGACAGAGCCTTCTCAGCAAAGGAGACAACAGAGGCAAAAACCTTAAAACACAGAAGTACTAGTGGGTTTGAGGAAAAGAAAAAAGGTCAGTGTGGAAGGGCTGGGCCTTTAGGGAAGATGATATGAAGTTAGAGCAACACAAGGCTGAGGATGGAGTTTAGATCTGAAGAAACAGAAAATCAGTGAAGGACATTAAGCAAAATGGAAACAGATTTACCAGATCACGCTGGTTGCCAATAAGCAATGGATAAATGAAAAGCCTGCAGTTTCAACGTGAAACCACCCTAACAAATCAAGGCAAGATGAAGGGACCCAGGACATCTCACACTGAGCCTGGCTGGATCAGAACTGAACACTGAACTGTTTCTTTCTCACAACTCTGGCATCCCTTTCCTTAGTCTTCCCAGTGGTAGACAGATGGCCCAGGTACCCAGGTGTGAAAAACCAAAGCCCAGTAGTCATTAGATGCCTCTTCCTCTGTCCTCCATATCCATGATGTTGACCACAGCTCCAAACCTAAAACACTCATGATGTTCTGACCATCTCTGCAGATTGGCTCTTTCTATCACTGTCACTTATAATATTTTGTCTGTGCTCTAACAAAGTTTGCCTGGAGATCAAAGGATGGTGCTAGCCACCTAGTTAACCACAGAGGCCAGGCAGTGGTGGCACACACCTTTGATCCCAGCACTTGGGAGGTCTAAGCAAGAAGATCAGGAGTTCAAGGCCACACTGGGCTACGTGAGATTGAACCAGTACAAAAGAAACAGAGCTCACACCTTTGATCCCAGCACTTGAAATCTCATGTCTTTAATTACAGCACTAGGGAGTTGGAGACAGGAAGTGATATCGCTGTCCCAGAGAGGAATATAAGCTGGGAGGAAACAGGAGTCTGAGGATTTCATAGAGGTGAGAACTAGTGGCTGGCTATTCTGTTTCTCTGATCTTTCAGCTTTCACCCCCTAATATCTTACTCCAGGTTTTTATTATTAAGACCAATTAGAATTCATAGTACAATCACTAAATACTGAACAAAATGTTTTCATGTTACCAAATATTCACCTTTGTTTGATATTGATATGCTTATAAAAAAGGAAATACATAAAGTGACCATGTGACAAAAGTGGCAGAGCCAGAGTTGCAGGTCCAACCAGAGAGCACTAAGAATTGCTGGGACCTGCTACACAGTGGGAGAGAGGCCTGGAATGGGTTATCTCTTATGAGGAACCCACTCTACCCACACTTATCTCAGACCCCTACCCTCAGAATAGGCGGGACAGGAAATCTCTGTTGCCTAAGCCCCCAACATGTGGTACTTTGTTGCTACACTCACAGGAAATCCAGGCCCCATGTTAGTTGATTTTTGCCCCTTGCACCACCCTGTTGTGTCAACAATGAGCTTTTCTCAGTCAGGCAGAGGAAACCTCAAACGCATGTGTAACAGCTACTTCCTATATAATGCATGAGAATTAAAGGCATAGAAATAGCACAAAAGAAAAACTTTGTTTCTGGCAATTCTCCCCCTACATCCACCAACTGAGGACAGTATGCATGCTTGCAGGTCTTCTTTATTTCACACTATTTTTTAATCCTCTGTGTTCCATGTAACAAAATGTTCACAATGCTGGCTATGCAGGCCTGTGTCATAAGATATATAGCCTATTTCATCACAGCCTTTGGTGGTGACAAACATGGTACTATGAGAGCCACTCCAATTAAGTAGTCACTGTGAGGACCAAGCTGTCAGATAGAGGGCTGAGGATGTTTCCAAAGTGCTTGCTCCATCTCACCAAACACCCACCCCTTCAAAGGGGAAATGCTGCAAGGTCTCACCATGCCTGACGGCATCACACACAGGACTACAATTGTTCCTATTTTGACATCATCTCTACTTACAATCTGCACCTTATCATTTGTTACTACAGTGGGTAAAGTACTCTGCACTGTCTCTTACTGACTCTCTGGATTTCTCTTGGTCATAGGCCAACAGGAAGAGAGCATAAGTAACAGTAACGGGACTTCTGGGAAGGACATGTTTCTAGCTGTCTGAATCTAGAAGCTGTCTGCCAGGGGCACAGCTCTTAAAAGCAAGTAGGCTAATTCCCTTGAAAGAAAAAAAAACAACAACCAGTTTTTCTAGGTCTAGTTAAGTAATTCCAGAAAAGAAAGAAGCATGTCCCATGTCAGGGAAGATGGTATAATCTCAAATCCTTGATATCTCATGTGTAGTTAATCATACACCATACTTCAGTGCAAGGAAGTGTCAAGGGCTCCAACCTTCTGAGAAGGGTATTTAGTCCCAGCCACCACCTGGGCCACCCTCATATTTTGGCATGACCAGACCATAAAGCCCAAACCAGAATGTTTCAAGCTCCCGGGTGATCCTGCTGTAAAACCTGGGTCACACCTGCTTTCTGAGTCCCTTTGAGGATAAAGTGCTGGTCAGAAATGTACCTATGTATCTCTATTTATCCAAGAAGCATGAACCCCATACAGCCACTGGAGACAGTCCAACTGCTCTCTCCCGCTGTAGCCTACCTGTCTTTTTCAGTCACACCTTCTGGCCCTGCTGGGAGTGTAGCATCTATAAAGGCCTGACCTTCTCCAAATTCTGAAGCCTAGTGGTCACCATCACCCTAGAGACCAAGTCTCTCCAGCAGAATTGCAAGGCTTAAAGGCACATGTCTTTGGCTGCATTTACTCAGGTTCTTATGATATCCCTACCCTGGGTTGTGTAAGTCCAAACCCCCAGAACTTGAGAACACGACTTTATTTGGGAAAAGGGTCTTGGTAGGTGTAGTGAGGTAAGTGTCATGAGCTGGAGATCCTCCTTAATTACCAGACAGACTCCACATCTACAATACAGAAGTAGAGGAGGAGACCATGAGGCACAAGAACCAGAGATTGGAGTGATAGGTCTATAAGCCAAGCAACACCAAGGACTGCCAGAAACCAAAAGCAAGGAGAAAACCTGGAATTGATTCTCAGAAGAAACTTAACATCTGACTTCCAGGCATGAAAGACTGATTTTTTTTTTGTTGCCACTTCAAGTCTCTGAGAATTTTTAGAACAGCTATAGGAATGCCATATACCACCACAAAACTGAACTGAATCAAACCAAACCAATAGCACTTCTGAAGGAAAATTAGAATGGGTATTTAAATGAAGACCTCATGAGCAAAGAACATGTCTGTTCCTTTAACATTTTCCCAAAGATCTGTCTAATAAATACCTAGGAACTAGAAAATGGAAAACTTGCTCCCCACCCCCTGAGAATTCTGAGGAAGAACCCAGCTCAGGCTTACTTTTTAAATCCCTTTTTAAATCCTGATTCTACTCAGCCTTCTCACCCTTAATAGGCAAGAAGTCTTGTGAAAAAAAGCCGCAGACAGGGATGGATTTACAGATCCCACTCAGAACTATGAAAGCATTCAGGAGGGCAGGAAGGGTTTCAGATCTGAGGAGTCAGCAAGGCACATCTATTACTTTCTCAACTCCAACTTCCTTTTCTTTACTAGAATTGCAAGGCTAATACCAATGACTGTAAGGCTCCAGAAAATGTCTACAGCCTTGCCAAACAAGTGAAGAGTTTCCTTGTTCACAATCTGCCAGTCACTACTAAATGGCTCCCAAGACAGAACATTTGGGCTGGTGCAGAACATGCCATCACAGACTCCTGGAGTGTGATGAACTATGGAAATCACCATTCACATAAGACAAGAATGTGCTTCACAAAGACAAGAGCACACTGGTGCTGGAATAAGAATAACATGTATGTGAAATAGTCTTCTGTCAGACCACAAAGCAGCCATAACTCCAAAGCCAAAATATGGAGGAAAGCATGGGTGTGAGTACATAAACAGCTTCTAGGCCCCAAAACAGTAACACAACCAAAATGGAACAAGGTGTGCAATTTCTGTGATAGACAAGAGCTAACCTGACTGATGATCAAAAAGCTTCCCAAAGCCCAAGAACAAATGGCAATGATACAACAGGAAAATGGGTAGAAAATATGAAAATCCAAGTTACATGAGTGGAATTTAAAAAGGCCCATATACCCCAGAAAAAGACACTTTGGCATACTCTTTAGTAAAAAAAACAGCATGTCTAGCAGATGGCAGAAACACAAAGGTCCACCAACCTCCTCCAAGGCAAGGCTCAATGCTACGTCTAAGCATATGTCTTAAAGGTACACACAGATCAGTGCACAAGTACTTTCACTGCACCGTTACTTACAGTAGCAAAAGACAGAATACTTCCCAAATGTCCATCAGAGGCAACACATGTTATGGCCTTACGTGCCATATGCCCTGGGAGAACAGCCTGCAGCTCAGGGCAAGAAAGGTACCAGCTGGAGGAAGAGCTGCACCCAGTCCTGCTTAGAGAAAGGGTGCTCCCTGAGAGCCTCTGGCCTCCATTCTAGACCCCCTAGGAGAATGGGAAAAGGGGGAGGAAGAAGCTAGCAGAGGCAAGTGGCTCAGGCACATAGAAAAAAACGGAAAAAAAATTCCTGACTAGGGCTGTCTACCCTAGTGAGGAACTAGCAGACCAAAGAGCTAAGGCAAGGGTCCTGCTAGGTCCTAGGGCCAGCTCTTTGAGATCAAACCCTTAATTGTGGACTATGCAGGTGAAACAGGAAAGCATAAGTTGCATAGTACAGGACATGGTATTACAAGTGGCCTTACATCTGCTGCTTCTACTCTATGCACTCCATGACATGTATCTGTAGAGTGTCCATATCAGGAGCCTGATACTGGCACTTGGGACAACGCATGTCAGGTGGTTCCTCAGGAGGGCTTCTCCGCTGGTTGGGTAAGGTCAGATGAAAGGAATGGTGAGCTGAGAAAAAAAAAGAACAGAGGCCAGCTCGGTAGGCTTCATGCACAGACTGGGTAGACCTCAAAAGGAAGGAGAGGCTAACAAGGTATTGAAACTTACTGATCCCACCATATTTGACTATATGTGTGGCTGGTAACCATCTCTACCAGGACATTCCTCCTTTTGCCTCAAGGTGGTGCAGGCTACTGATGGGGGTAGCCAACAGGAGCTCCCCAAATGAAAGCAGCAGGGAGGTTAATGCATGCTTTCCCTCAGCACAATATTCTGCCCTTCCTGTCCATCTCCTCCACCATCTACAACCTGCTCACTCACCTGATGCAGGGAGTAAAGGGGGCTGAGAAGTCTCTACATGCCGCTTCCTCATGTCCTCAATCCTTTGAAAACAAAAACCATTCAATCAATGCCTGCAGGGTTTTTTAATGAATAAACACCTTCATTGAGATATAATTCATACACCATACAATTCACCAATTTAATCTGTATTGTTCACTTGTTTTTACTATATTTAGCATGTCCATATATCATCTGTATAACTTTAGAATCTTTTCATCTCCCAAAGGAAACTTTGTACTTATTAACAATTACTCTTGGGTTCCCCCCATCAGTTTCCTCAGAACCTCACTACAAACTACCACATACCTAGTGGCTTAAAATAACAAAAATGTACTCGATGCAAGCAGGTGCCCTAAATCAACATGTCAGAGAACTGGACAGAAGTACCATGCTCTCCTCTACTGGTGGTAGTTAAATGACTCCTTGGCATTTCTTGGCTAGTAGCGGAATCCCAGTGTTGGCCCTGGCCTTCTTGGGGATGCCTTCTGTATCTTAATGTGATGTTTCTATAAGGACCACAGCCAATTAATTAACCTGATGTGACCTTATGTTAACTAATTACATATGCAAAGATACTATTTCCAAATGAGGTCAGATTCTGAGGTTTTAGGTAGAGAGAAATTTGAGGGAATTCTATTTGTACTGGTTAGGTTCTTTAATTTATTGTTTTATTTTTATCAATTTGACTCAAACTGAAGTATCTGATAAAAGAAAACCTCAACTGAGTAAATGTCCCCATTAGATTGACCTGGAGGCAAGCCTGAAGGGCATTTTCTCCATTGATAATTGATGTGGGAGGGCCTAGTTTACTTGGGATGGTGCCACCCATTGGGTAAGCACCTGGGCTGTATAAGAAAGCAAGATGAGCAAGCCATGAAGAACAAGCCAAAAAGCAGTTCCTCCATGATTTCTGCTTCAAGTTCCTGCCCTGACTTCCCCATGATTAACTACAAGCTGAAATAAACTCTTTCCTCTCCAAGTTGTTTTTAATCTTGGTGTTTATCACAGCAACAGTAACCAAACTAAGACAGACATTAGTACCAGGCTCTTGGGGAACTGCTAAGACAGACCTGGCCATGTTGTTTTCTGGAAGATTGTGGAAGGACTTTGGAACTTTGGGCTGGAAATGCCATTAAGTAGTTAGAACTTTATGGACTGTTCTTTGGGAGCCAGGAAGATAAGAATACTAAGAGCAATGCAGATGATAAAGGCCTAGCTTGTGAAGTTTCAGAGGGAAGCAAAGATTCTATCATGGCCATATATGTGGTATTTTGAATTAAGAATCTGTAGTTCTGGTCAGCTGGTGCTGAAGAATCAGGTGGGATGAACAAGAAACCAGAAGCACTGAAGTAAAAACCTTTCCTGGGATACTTGATGCTGGTTAACTGAAGCTGATAAAGCAGCTATGATCAAGAAAAGACTAGCATGATTGAGGCGAACTCTTCTAGACTCTAAAATCTAGAGAGTATCTCCTCAGGGTTAGGACAATGAAGCTCTGGTCCAGATATGGCCAAGGCTGTATCTCATGCTATCAGTCAAACAGGGTAATATGAAGGGGTCATGAAAAGTAGCTGAGGCTTGGCACTACTTGAAAGGTCAGGAGAAGCTATTGGTGAAGGTGCATCCTCAGAGCAGTGGAGACCCCAGCATATTGGAGATTCCAGTACCATGAGACAAGAACAGCAAAAGCTGTGGAGCAAAGCCAACCTGAGCTTATGAGACAAGCTATGTGTACTATAAATGGCAAAGCCAGAGAGGTATAGCTGCCCAAGCCCTTTGGAGCTCAGAGGATCATGAGTGTGGGTCCTAGACATCAAGCATTGCATTTACACTGTTGAATTTTGGCGTTGCTTTTTTATTTGATTGTGACTGTGCCATGGCTCTTCATTCTTAGAGTAAGAAAATATGTAACTTATTATTTTATAGGAGCCCATTTAGACGTTTACAGAGACATTTATTTTTTTAATGAGTGGTGGAATGTTTTAAAGACATTTATGGGGGTTTTTTGGTTGTTTTTTGGTTATTGAGACATAGTTTCTTTGTGTAACAGCCCTGGCTGTCCTGAAACTCACTCTGTAGACCACGATGGCCTCAAACTCAAAGTTTCATCTGCCTCCCAAGTGTTATAATTAAAGGCATATATCACCAAGCCTATTCTAAATTTATGTTTTATATTGTGATTTTTAACATGAATTGGAGGACAAACAAGTAAGGAAAGGTTATGGTTTAATAGTGGTGTGTTTGTATGTCAAGTTGACAAGGGGTTAATCGTGCTGATTGGCTTTTGACAACACAAACTGGAAAAAGAGAATCTCAATTAAGGAACTGTCTCAAATAAATTGTAGGTAAGTTTGTGGGGGCTTTTTCTTGATTAAAAATGAATGTAGGATGCCCAGCCTACTGTGGGTGGTGCAACCCCTAGACTTCTGGGCCTGGGTTATATAAGAAAGCAAGCTGAGCAAGCCAGTAAATAGCATTCCCCTGTGACCTATGCTTCAGTTTCTGCCTCCAGATTCTAGCCCTGACTTCTTTCCATAATGGATTATAAACTGTAAGCTAAAATAAACCCTTTCCTCCCCAAGTTGTTTTTGGTCATGGTGTTTATTACCAATAGAAACCAAACTAAGACACTATGAAACCTAATATATCCCCACAAAAACTCCAGCCTTAGATACCTCTCAATACATGCATTTCAGTGAAGTTTCTAACTGGATAAGTGTGAAAGGTCACTGTTGAAAGGACAAGACACAGGGAGAGCAGAAAGAGGTACAGGGAACTTAACACAAACACCAAGAGCCATCAACCTCCTGTAGCTACTTCTGGTTAATGCTAGTATATGCCTGTTTTGTGTGTGGCTGTGCTCCTGTCTGTACTCTTAGAGGCCCACCTGGCTGACTCATGGCAGCCAGCCTTCAGTTTGCTGAACTCGCGCTGCAGCTGCTCCAGCTGCTCCTGCAAAAGCTCCTTCTTCTCCACCAGCTTTTCCCGGGCATGCCTCTCAGCTTGGAAGTCAGCCTTGTAGATATCCGCCTGGCAAATAGAAGAAAAGTATGTCAATCATCCATCAGCTGCCTATCAAGCATTCTATGCCATGCCCCCAGAGGAACAGAGTCTTGTCCCGTCCCCAAAGATCACATGATAGTACACCAGGAACAGATATGAAAGCCCGTGATCCCAAGGGCACCAAGAGATCAAAGACTCAAAGGAGGTGCAAAGGACTCACGAAGACTAAAAGAGACCACCAAAAATGATGCCAAAGGGGTACACCAGACCCCACTGCCTGGAACAGTAGGCCACTCATGTGACAGGCAGGCAGGAGCAGAGCTCTCACCTGGGCCTTCAGGACTGGCACAGTCTCCATCATAATCTTGTGCTGCTCAGCCTCTTCTTTCAGCTTATCAATCAATTCCTGTTTGGCTACCAGGGCCTCCTCAGCTTGCTGGAGCTGTTGCCTCAGATCTTCTAGCTGCATGCCCTAGAGAGGACAAAAGGCAGAGTCTCTTGGCCCACAGTGGGGCCAAACTACTTCCCTGGCTGGCCACTGTTCTGAGAACTAAGAAGGAAAAGCTGGAGCAAAGCCAGTCCTTTGGACTTCGGGGCAAATGTCAAAATCTCAATGTGTGCAGGGAGAAGGCTGCATCCTGCTGTGGCCCTTTAATACAGAAGAAATGCCGAGGTCTTTCTTAGGATGCACAAAGATCTTAGGACTGATAAGAACGTTGAGGATATATAAAGCACTGCCTCCTACTCTGCGTCATCCCCTTCAGAGAATTTCCAGCTAGGCAGCCTTCCTCTTAACTCTTCAAGGACAGGAGCCATCCTCTCTTCTAAGGCTTCCCACTCCAAAGTGAGTAAGTACTATGCAGTAACGCTGTACATACTGCAGGCCCACCATACACCAGACAAGGCTGCAAAAGGCTGCAACCCACTGCTTCTTCCACTCTGCCACTTGGTCAAAGGTCTGCTCTCTCTCTCTCTCTCTCTCTCTCTCTCTCTCTCTCTCTCTCTCTCTCTCTTTCTCTCTCTCTTTCACACACACACACACACACACACACACACACACACAACACACACACACACAAAATACATATGCACCCATGCTCTCAAACAATAATTCCCTCCAGAGATTAAGCAGCTATTTGTAAAAGATTTTCTCAGCCACAGTGGATGATCTTTTTGATGTGTTCTTGGATTTGGCTTGCCAGTATTGAGTATTTTTGCATCAATATTCGTGAGTGAAATAGGTCTGCAATTCTCTTTCTTTCTTGAATTTTAGTGTGGTTTGAATATCAGGGTGACTGTGGCCTCATAGAAAGAATTTGGCAATGTTCCTTCTGTTTGTATTTTGTGTAATAACCCAGACGGAGAAAGACAACATATTATGTACTCACTCCTAAGTGGATATTAGCTATAGAATAAAGGATAACTATGTTGCAATCCACAGACCCAGAGAGACTAGCTAACAAGGAGAGTTCATGGGGGACACCCAGTGCAGTGATAAGTTATTTATGTTTTAACAAATAGAGCTTGCCTGGAGATCAGAGTGCAAAGCTAAGCCACTAGAGGCCAGGGAGTGGTGGCACACACCTTTAATCCCAGAAGTTAGCAGAGGGGTCTGTTAGTTCAAGGCCACCCTAAACAACAACAAGACTGATTCTGTCTAAAAGACAAACAGAACTCACACAAAGGAAATCCTAGCTCTTGGGATCCCACACCTTTAATTCCAGCATTGGGAAGTGGAGACAGGACTGATATGGCTGGGCGGAGAGAGGAATACAAGGCGGGAGGAGACAGGAGCTCAAAGCAGTCTCAGGTTTGGTGGAAACGGGCAGTCTGAAGAGACAATTTGAGGACAGGATTGCCCCTTCGGTCTGAGCATTGGTAAAAGGAAAAGGTGTCTCTAGTGGCTGGCCACACTGCTTCCCTGATCTCTCAGCTAATATTAATTGCATATATTTATTATTATTATTATTAATTATAAAATAATTATTATAATAATTCCCTAAAATCTGACTCTGGGTTTATTTATTAAGACCAATTAGAATTCATGCTACAACCCAAATCTCCCTGGCAAGAGATTTCATGAGTGAACTGAGGATGGGTGGGGATGGAAACATGAGTGATCAGGTTGGAAGGGGCACGGAGGAAGAGAGTACTGAGAGGGACTGCTGGGGGAACATTTGGGAGTCAGGTGGAAGCCTGGAGCAGGGGGATCTCCCAGGAGTCTACAGGGAGGACCCCAGCTTAGACTCCTAGCAATAGTGGATAAGTAGCCTGAACTGGCCATCTGCTGTGACCAGATTGGTGTCTGGCCCAATAGTCATCGGAGAGGTATCATCCAGCAACTGACCCACAGCCAAACATTAGGTGGAGTTCAAGAATCCTGCAGAAGGGGAGGAAAGAGTATAGGAGCCAGAGGGGTTAAGGACATCACAGGAAGGCTCACACAATCAACTAAACTGGATTCATAGGTGCTCACAGAGACTAAACTGACAAACAGGGAGCCTGCAAGGGACTGACCGAGGTAGCTTGGTCCTCTTATGAGATTCCTAACAGTAGGAATAGGGACTGTCTCTGACTCTCTTACTAGCTTTTGGAACCCTACTCCTCATACTGCATTGTCTTGCCCAGCTTTAATACATGGGGAGGTACTTAGTCTTTCTGCAACTTGATATGCCATGTTTTATTGATACTCATGGGAGACCTGTCCTTTCCTGGACGGAGACAGAAGAGGAGGGGATTGGGGATGGGAGGGAGGGATAGGAGAGGGCCTGGGTGGGGAGGATAAAAGGGAGTCTGTAGCCACAATGTAAAATAGATGGAAATAGATGAAAAATAATTTTAAAAAACGATTCTTAATTTACATATGTGTGTATGTGTGCCACATGTGTGCAGGTACCCACAGAAGTCAGAGATAGTATCAGATCCCCCACAGCTGGAGTCACAGGTGACTATTAGCCACCCGATGTGGGTGCTAGGAACTGAACTTGGGTCCTCTAAAAAAAACAAGTGCTCTTAACCATTAAACCATCTTACTAATCCCTTAAGCAGCTATTTACAGTTCTTCATCATGTGACCTAGTTTTATGCTTAATATTTATATATCTCTGGGTACATTATGGATGACAATGTCCTTCTTAAAATGTGACCATTAACTTGAGTAACTATGCACAATTTTGTGTTAGCTTTCAAGTTTTTTCTCATTTGACTTCTATTATTAAAGTAATTATTTAAATTTTAGGCAAATAAGAAAACGTAAGTTTTTATTTTTAAATTAATATCTGAGTTAACTCATTTCATAATAAATTTTTCATGAAGAGAGGTCTTCATGCTTTTATTATTTGAGCCCTCCCTTAATGTATTTGCTAGGAATAATAGTATTCAAATATTTTTAATCTACTTGTGTAATACTATAGTGTCTTTCAAAAGTTGTTCATACAATTTCTGAATTAAGGCCATATTTAAGGGCTAGAAGAGCTCACCTTTTCACAGAAGGTAAAAAAATTCATAGTTGTAACTGCAGATGAAAAAATGTTTTCATGGAGATGTAGTAATCATTATGGCAGTGGAAACACCCAGTTCATAGTCTAAAATTTTAAATGCATGTTTAGGGAGGGGTTAGATTTTAATGACTGTTTTAACCACAACTGGTTATGTTATAATAAAATATATATAAAAATACAAAAATTTGTTTAACTAAACTCTGCAACTATAAGAATTATTTTTATACAGTTGTAATACACACACACACACACACACACACACACACACACACATATCATGGGGTTTGATTTTGTCCAACTGCCTTTCCATCTAGTTCTCATTTTATTCATGGGAAAACAGATATACTCCATTTTTGTGAATCCCTTCATCTTGCATAGCTGCACTGAACTAGAACTGCACAGATCTTTATGGTAAACAATTCTAAGAAATTTACTGAGAGTCAGAAATGCTTTCAGAAAGCAGTTTCTCTAATCTGTTAATACCATTTGGCTTCCCACTGCTCTCTGGAGTTGTTAATTCAACTGGGGGGTTGTTTGGGGAGGGGAGTTGTTTTGTTTTGAGACAGGACCTCTTTCTATAGCCCTGACTATCCTGGAACTTACTATGTAGAGCAGGCTAGCCTCGAATGCACAGAGATCTGTCTGCCTCAGCCTCCTGAGTGCTGGGATTAAAGGTGTGTGCCATCACAGCCAGCATCAATATGTGAGCTTTTGATAACCTTGTTAAAATGTCTTATATGAGCACTAGGATGTAAAGAATTACCAACATTATCCATTCTATTTAGGAGAAAAAGAACAGCTAATAAACTTTATTATGGGGGAAAATGTGACCACTAGAAAACTAGTCATCATGGCACACACTTGTTATCTAGGCACATGGAAGATGGAGGCAAGAGAATCAGGAGTTCAAGGCCAGTCTCAACCACTTAAGAGTTCAAGTCCAGCCTGGGTTATATAGGACCCTGTCATTAAAAAAACACAAAAGAATAGGCTATGAAGATAGTTCAGTCAGTTCAGAATTCAAGCCCCAGAACCAATGTAAGAAAAAGAGCTGAACATGTATAGCTCCTAAGGAATAACACCAATGTCATCCTCTGAATTCTACATACATTAATACATATGCATACGTACAAAGTGAACACTAGAAACTGTGCCCAGCTTAGGGTTGATGAAGATAAACTACCAAAGAGCTCCAAATCATCCTAGAAATGTTTCTGGGGGATGAAAGAAGAGGCTGGAAAGACGGCTCAGCAGTCAAAAACACTTGGTGCTGCTGGAGAGGACCCAGGTTCAGTTCCCAGAACCCACAAGGTGTTCACAACCATCTGTAACTCCAGTTCCAAGGAATCCATCATTCTTTCCTGTCTTCCAAAGGTACCAAGCACACACTTAGTGCACATACATATACGCAAGCAAACATTTCTATACATAAAATAAATAAGTATAAAAAATGTTTTAAGAACAGGGCAGGGAACCCTGACTGCTCTTCAGACTGGAGAGGGAGGGGGAGAGGAGTGGGAGGGGGGGGGGAAATGGGAGGCTGGGAGGAGGCAGAAATTTTTTTTTCTTCAATAAAAAAATAATAAAAAAAATGTTTTAAGAGAAAAAGAAATGTTTCTGAGACTTCCCTCCTGGCTCTGAGCATGAAGGAATGACCATGCAGAAAAGCATCCTTACTCTATAAACTGAGTATTTGAAGGTCCTATGGATGCATCCCATCTTCTTGTGGCCATCTCTAAACTGTCAGAGCTGCAGCCCTAATGAAGGTGTCAGGCAATTTGAGAGTCCCTTCCAAAAGTTAGATGAGCTACATCTCAAAGGTCCCATTGCTCCCCTTCAAGTACATGGGAGAAGAAGGGAAAAATCTTTCCCTGGACAGCCCAGGGCAGCCATACTTACTAGCTTGTGCTCTCCACTCACCTTGCTGCTCTTGATGTGACTGTCATAATCTTGGAAGAGCTGGTGATAGGCTGCCTGCAACTGAGCCAGTTTCCTCCTGTACAAAAGGAGCTGTCACTGAAGAAACAGCTTGCCTGGTACAGCTTCCCCCTCTTTCTTCTTGTCCCATAAAAGACCTGAAATGTGGGCTTCCTGGATTACATGTGGACTCCTGAGGCCGTCAACTCTAAGGTTGGCTTTGCTTACTACAAGAATACAGTGTAACTGATTTGGATGCTACATAGTTCATGTTTCCTTAAAGCCAACATCTTGGGGTGTTTCTAACAAGGGCTAGGGTACAACTCAGGAGTAGAACCTTTGGCTAGTGTGCTTGAGGTCCAACGCTCCATTTCTAGCACCAAAAAGAAAATAAATGGGTGAAATGTTTATAATAAAACAGCACTTGACTGCACTCTGTAGAAAACAAAGAGGCAGGGAAATTGTTCTAAATTAAAGAAAACTCAAATGGAAGCTGAACCAGATGCCAATAGCATGTTTAGAGCCTGTGCACAGATTGTGGGCCCAGATGAGTCTTTAGGGCCAGCTTGAGGCACCATGATTCCTTGCTTTCCTTACACCAAGAGCATATTTCAACTGTGATGAAAAAAAAACCTGTGTAGAGGGGGAGGGAAATGGGAAGCGGTTGCGGGGACGAGGCAGAAATCCTTAATAAATAAATAAATTTAAAAAATAAAAAAAAAACCTGTGTAGGACATATAGTAAACTATGAATATGAATGGAAAATATTTCTGTTTACATAATAATAGTTGACTCTTTCATTAGCAAGGCAAAGGGAGAAAGTCAGCTCTTCTAAACACAGCCAATCCCTACCAGGACTCCCCAAAAGACAGAAAGCACCATGGGTGCTCTGAAATCTCTTGGTTCCGACCCTCCCAGCCACTCACTTCTCCTCTGAAGCAGCCTGACGCTCCATTCGCAGGGCAGCATCCACACTCTGGTTCTGCATGCGCAGCTGGTCCACCTGCACGCTGTGCTGCTGCTGCAGCACCTCCCGTTCACTCTCCAGCTGTCTAACCTGCTCACTAACAGCTCGCATCCTGACATACAACAAAAAAGAACACACTGAGGTGGCTGGAACAAGGCAGCCTGGGGAAGGGGTCAAGTCCTGAATAGCCAGTGTCCGAGAACTAATTCTGGTGGCAAAGTAAAAGAACCATGGCACCCAGAAAAAAGAAGCATCTCCTGGAAATGGCCCTGAAGTCATTAAGAGTGTGAAAGCTATCCCTGCTCCTCACCAGTTACAACGCTTAAGAGAGCAGGCCCTATACCTCAACTGGGTAACACAATAGAGCCAACCTGGTTGGCAGAGGTGTGGGTGAGACGGCCCCAAAGTTGTAAGCATGGGAGAGCTATCCCCACTACTTGCCTGTCGTGTGACGATGTGGGAGGGTGAAAGATGCCCCCCCTTTACCCCTTGCCCCTTACCACCTCCAACAGACAAGAGAGCTGACCCTCCCCCTTACCAGCTGTAGCACTTAGTTAACAGTCCCTGCCCCTTGCCTAGGCAGCACAGAAGAGATGCCCAGTGGCTGAAGGTGAGGGTGACCCAACCCTGATGTTATGAGCAAGGGAGAGCTGCCCTCATTCCTCATTTGGCATGTGGTAGCCCCACCTCCGGCCCATTAACACTTGAGAAGTGTGGAGGAGCTGACCCTGGGGTCATAAGAGAGAAAAGCTGTTCCCACTCCTCATCAGCAGCAGTACTTAGGAGAGAGGCCCCTGGCAACACAAGAGCTGGCCCTAACAGTGTCAGTGTGAGAGAGCTGATCCTGAGGGCATGAAAACAGGAAAACTGGCCCCACCCTTGCTCACTGCTGAAAGAGGTGAATTAGCCAGGGCAGTGCTGGTGGTGAGGACAGGGGAGAACTAGCTGGCAGATCAACCCTACAACTGCCCAGGCCCAGATCCAGGGTTATGAGTTGGCCCACCCCAACATCCACCCATCTTTGATCTGCTGGAGCACGTGAAGGGACCTGACCCAGACACCCAATGCTGAAGGATCTCCACGGCACAGGGTGACAACAGGATATCCAAGAGGAGTCCTAGTGAGGGCCCAGCATTGATAATGTAGTGGAAACCAAAAGCCTCAAACCAGACCAGTGACTCTTTGCAATGAACACTTGCAAATAACGATATATGAACAAAGGGATTTATGTTGTGATTCACTGTGTCACACTGCAGCTTCCATGATGAAATTTTTAATTCTTTCCCTTTTTAATTTTTTTTCCTTTTTTCTCTTAAATGTTGTTTTATTTGGGGGTGCAGGGGAGAAAGGAGGATCAAAAGGAACAGGGAAATAAATGGGATCAAGATACATGATGTAGGGGCTGGAGAGAAGGCTCAGAGGTTAAGAGCACTGACTGCTCTTCCAAAGGTCCTGAGTTCAATTCCCAGAAACCACATGGTGGCTCACAACCATCTGTAATGAGATCTGGTGCCCTCTTCTGGCATGCGAGCATACATGGAAAGAATGTTGGACACATAATAAAGATACATGATATAAAAGACACATATAATAAATAAAAAGAAACATCTCCTGACATCTGTTTGCTTCTTATGCCCAACAGACAATCACATGCAGTTGGCAAGGAGATAAACTAGGAAGGGGATTTAGGTACCTGCACCCCAAGCTGCTGCTGGGACCAGGTGGGAGGAGTCACTGGGAAGATGCCAAAACAGTCTGGGTAAAGTGATGTCAAGAGACTGTTCAGAGTCCCAGGCACCCTCATTGGAGGCTCAAGTTCCATACCTGGGGTATACAGCCTCATGGAACAGAAGATGGCATCAAAGTCTCAAGAGAATTCATCTCTCCCTCTATACTCTCTCACTGTAAAAGCTTTAAGTTGTCTCACCTATATCACCCATAGTCCCTACATCTTCTGATCCTGGTCCACAGTACCCCACAGTTTCCCTTAAACCCCAGACCCCAAGCACTAGCCTCATCACCCTGGTACCTCCCTATGTATCCATTACAAAGGCAATAATGGGCATATCCATGGGCCTCTGAAGTAGCCTCTGACCGCAGGTCACCTCAACTTTGCCAAGGCAAATCTAGACTACTGGGCCTGCTCCCCTTTGGCTTTTGCTCACATTGTTCGTCCCCTAGCCACCACAACTAGTGGTCTCTGAGCCCAAGTCGAACTGTCCTCCCTTCCACAGGACAGAAGCCCCAACCCACTGCTTCACAAACATAATGACTACCTACTGTACTGAAAAGGCCAAGACTACCCTTCACCAACTATCTGGAGGACAGCAACAAGGCAATGAGATAGGCACAAAAATGCCCATGTCTGTGACATGGTCTCACGTGGCAACCCTTGGCAAGACCTAAGGCCACTACTTGGCAAAGTCAATCAAACACTCTTTTCTGCCAATGTGATCAACTCCCAACAGAAACATGGGGTTCACAGTCTCTAGTTAGAAATAGCTCATGGGTGCTCCGTGCTGTTCATAGGAGTAAAATGTATTCAGTCTTCTTCATCTAGGACATTCTGCCTTGGTAGAATCCCATTGCATGCCTTTCCCATGATAAACTTTAGTCTGATTAGTGAGATCTTGCGTGTAGTTTTAGGGGGCCCTGCAATGGTTCCTAAAGAATAAACTGATCCTGAATGTAATGGTTTGAATGAAAATAGCCCTCATAGGCTCATATGGAGCAGCATTATTTGAAAAGATTAGGACATGTGGCCACGTTGGAGTAGATGTGGCCTTGTTGGAGAAAGTATGTTACTGGAGTGGGCTTTGAGGTGTTAGAAGCTCAAGTCAGACCCAGTGACTCATTATCTCTTCCTGCTGCCTGCCAATCCAGATGCAGAAGTCTTAATTCCTTCTCCAGCACTATGTCTGCCTGCATGCTGCCACACTTCCTGCCATGATGATAATCAACTAAACCTCTGAATGTAAGCAAGCTCCAATTAAATGTTTTCCTTATAAGAGTTTCCATGATCATGGTGTCTCTTCACAGCAATAGAAACCCTAACTAAGAACACAGTAAAGGGTCGGATACTGGAAACAAAAGTGGAACTAGATTCATAGATGTTGGACCAGGGCCACCCTGAGGGCCCCAGGAAATCAGAGGAACTCCTAGGGGCTCCTACATTTGCCTCATTCAAAACCCTGGAAAGGGCCTCATGGGCTAGATTCCCCTCCCCACTCACCTTCCCTCTAAAGTTTGCCGTTCTTTGGTGGCAACCTCCAAGCGACTCTGGCTTTCCTGGAGTTCCCCCAGTAATGATGTCACCTGGGCTTTCACAGAGGCCTTGTCCTCAGCCATCTGCTGCAAGAAAAAAGGTCATTTCCTATCAGTACTACTTTCTCCCACGATGCCCACTTTTAGCATCCACAAGACCCGAGGCAGTCTGCAAGCAGCTGATGTACTAAGGGATTCTCCTGCCCCTTAGTACCTATTTGGTGCAGGAGAATTGTCTGTATTCTGTCAATCATGTTATAAATAAACGCTGATTGGCCAGGCAGGAAATACAGGTGGGAAAACCAGACAGGAAGTAGAAATGATGTAATGAGAACAGGAGAATTCTGGAAAGGAGGAAGTTGATTCCTCCCACTCCTGCCCAGACCACCAAAGCAGCAGGATGGGATATGCCCCACTGAAAAAAGGTACTGAACCACATGGCTAACATAGATCAGAAAAATGGGTTAATCAAGATGTGAGAGTTAGCCAGTGAGAGGCTAGAGCTAATGGGCCAATCAGCTTATAATTTATGGAGACCTATGTGTGATTTTCTTTGGGGATAAACAGCTGGGGAACTGGGCAGGACAAAAACCACAACAACAAACAAGCAGGCCTGGCCCCTCCATGTTACACCTATAAACCTAGGTATATTGGAGCCTCATTAGCCCAATAGCTATCTGTCCTCCCCAAGTCACCAACCTAGACTGTCAGCTGATAGTGAACCTTTCTCAGTCTCTTTGAAACTCTGTAAAAGGAGACCAGACTCAAAGACATCCACAAAAATTAACAACCTAGTCTATATACACAACAGGTAAGAAGTCTCATTTTAAAAAATGGAAGAAAATACTGAATTTTTTTAAATACTAAGAGCTGAACCAGCAAGAAGACTCATCGGGTAAAGGTACTTGCCACCAAGGCCCATGACCTGATTTTGATCTTTAACTCAACTCCCACAATCTGTCCTGAGTGCTGAGATTAAACTATACTCAGCTCAGCCAAACTTTAAGGTTGACCAAACCTTAATATATCTTCAAACAGCTTAAGATCACATTCCTAGAATGTCTCAGGCCCCTTCCTAGTTCCTACTTGCAAATACTGAGAGCTGTTAAAGGAACTATTTTAGCCAACACTACATAGGCTGGAAGGCTAATAAGTACTACCAGTCATGACTCCTTCTTCTATCCCTCTCAAAGTCCACGTATTTCCTAAGGTCCTAACCCTGTCTCAAAAACCTGAATGCCACTCCTTTGAAATGAAATCATCAGAAAGGATAGGACTCAGACTCCCAGTCTCATGGTATAGTAAAATCCTACATTTGATTGTACAAGACTGTAAATACACTGAACTCATTACATTGACACTAATTCCCTTTGTCATTCACTTGAGCTCCTTCTCCTGCCCAAATCCTTCATTTTCTTTCTACCTCTATTTCTGTCTTTGTCTTATTTTTTGAAGTACTAGAAACTGAATTCCAGGCCTTACACATGCAAGTACATGTACTGAACCACACTCTGGTCCCTATTCTTATTTTAAAATTCCCGGTCATTAGGTAAAGAGATGACTTAGTGGTTAAGAAGAGTACTTGCTGCTTTTTAGAAGATCAGAATTTAGTTCCTAGCACCATGACCATCTAGTAGCTTACAGCTACCTAGAATTCCAATTCAAGGGGATTTGACACTCCCTTCTGACCTCCAAGGGGCATCTGCACACATTACATACACAGACAGACACAAACATCCAAACACATCAATAAAAATAAATCTTAAGATAAAATACCCAGTCACCTTTGCAGATCACCCACCAGAGCTCAGCTAGCCCTTTCCCTCTCACTGATATCAGTTTCTGAAAAAAAAAAACCTGTTTCCATGACTTTAACAACTGTCCACCTTTATGTTTCACATTGGTATCCTTATTAAAAAAGAGGAGGATTTTGAGACAGCTCAGCACGTCTCAGCAGGTAAAGATGCCCGTCATGAAGCCTGACAACCTGCATTCAATCCCTGGGACATATATGGTAGAAAGAAAACTGATTCCTGCAAGTTGTCCTCTGACCTACATGTACACAACATGACATATACATGCCCACATGTGTGAGTGCTTGCACAGACACACACACTACACAAAATAAAATGTAATAAAAATTTTAAGAGAAGAAGAAAAGACCATGTGACAAGAGAGCTGGGGCGCACCAAGGACTGCCAACACTGATAATACACTTGGAGAAGTACCTGGAATAGCCCTTGTGAGGAACCTACCCATACCTCCATCCTAGACCTCTAACCTCCAAAACTGGGGACAATCTGTTACCAAAGCCCCAAGTATGTGGTACCTTGCTGCTGTCTCCCTAGATAGAAACCAAATGCTTTGACCAGGCACTCCCAGCAGCACTGTGAACTTAGCCCTATATTATAAAAACCTGACTCTGGCAGGTCTTCCCTAACCTTTCTTCCAGGATTACCCCTGCCAGATCCATAATCCCTGCTCAACTACTATCACTGGGGTCCTGAAATCTGCTGATCCAAATGGCCCCAAAATACCCTGTCATCCCACACTAAGCACACCATCCTTTGGGGACAATGCAATACAAGGGCCAACTTAAAGGCCTGGAACCATATACTTCTCCAAAGGCTCCTGAGGATCATCTCTGAGCCCCCTGGGAAATCCTGCCTGATGAGAGTGCCTTGGTTTAACAAGGGTCTAGGCTGTCTGGGCTGATGGCAGGGTATAAGTGAGGGCCTTAGAAACATGGTATGGTGCCAGCTGGACTTCAGGGTGGCTAGGACCTAAGCAAGCTGGGTCAGGTACCCAAGCACTCCATGCCTTCATAAGTGAGCCCAATATAAACCCAAGACATAGGCATGCTTCCTGCGTGACATTGCTCCATGTACACTGTCCCCACCGCCCACAGCAAAAGCACTGCTCCCTGAGAAGCTCACATCTGTCCTCTCCTGGCTCCTGCCCTACTTGCCTTGTACCTTGGATAATTTAAATGTGGACCCTTTCAATGTAATAAACTAACAATGAGTGTGATGGCTTCTCTTGATTCTCAAAGTGCCCCTACCAATCAAGCCAGAAGAGGTCCTGGGGGGACTCCCAACAACATGCCTCCTATGAGAATATGCATGTTATTACAGTCTTCAAACACAAGTGAGGCAGAAGGGCCTGCCCACCCACGAATTACCTGCTGGCATTTCTTCAGGTGCTCCAAATCCTTTAAGGCCTGTTCCCTCTGTCTGTGCAGGTCAAGCTTCTCCATGCTTAGTCTCTCTACCAGCTTCCTGGCTTCCTGGAATTTGCACATGAGGAACTCCTTCTCCTCCCGCTGGCTGACCTGGAAATGCAGCAGCTCCTCACAGCATTCTCTTAGCATCTGATTGCTCTGCCGGATGGCATCTGGGGACAGGGAAGACAGCAAAGGAGATATGGGTCCTGACAGCCAGGCACTCCCGTAATACCAGGTGGCCTTTCTCAAAGAAGTCAAATCAATTCCACTGATGATATGCTCCCAAGTGTCTGCAATGCATTACTAAACACATCATATTCACTTGAAGGGATACATCAAATGCAGCTTTCTTTTTAAGTACTTCATTTATATTCCGGTCAGTTGGAGGTAACCCTACCCTGGAGCACTCAGTTCCAGTCTCCCAGGCCTGCATCTCTGTCTTCAAGATCAGGGGATGCTAAACATGCCTACAGACTTGGGGAGGTAGGGAGACAGTCCCCAAGACAAATCTCACTGTGTAGCTTCTGGCTACAGCCTGGGAGTCCAGAAGGTGCAGACAGAACAAGTTAGTAATATCTGAGTTTCATCATCTTCAGCTGCATATTCAATAACAGTTAACAACCACCTTGCAAAAATAAGGGTGGCATGAGAAAGGACAGGCTGCCTGTGCGGGAGACACACTCAAAGACCTCTTATCACCAGAGCTGACCATGCCCTTCCAAGAGCAGGCCACACTACATCTTAGGACAAAACCCTCTCTCTCCCAAGGAAAACCATATTCTCTCCCACCTTAAAGCTTGCTGTGTCCTGAGAAAGATGAAACCTACTCCCATTGATCCATATAGCCCACTTTTCCCCCCTACCCACCATGGCTTCTCAGCTTGTCCTCTTTCCCCTTTCCCGTCTCCTTCCCCCTTCCTGGTGCTGGCCCTGAACCACATTATTTCCTATATGTGAATCTTCACAGAGAACCCCACCTGAAACCAAGCAGGAAGATGGCTAAGATGGCTGGTTCTTAAGCAAATCATGGCCTCATAGCCTACCAATAATGAGGTGCAGGTGAAAATAAGTTTTGTCCTTAGTGTGCCAGGCCACTCCTGACTATTTTACTCCATGCCTCCCTCACACTGCAACCTTCACCTCGGAGCTCTTGGTTCTCTTCCAGGCAGCGCTGGAGGGTCTCGGGAGTACCCTGCTCTGAAGGCAGATGTAACATTGCCGGCTTTCCCAGAGATTCTTCACCCGGCATGTCCTGGTCCCCTGCTGGGCCACCACTGGGCTGCACCATCTCACTCAACTGATTCTTCCAGAGGTGCCTGCTCATCCAACAAAACAGTATCTAGAAAAAGACAGTAGGAGTGCATGACACAGAGCAGAATTCTGTCAACCTATACAGAAGCCCTAGACTTTAATTCACAGCAAAAGGCTGGACATTTTATCTGGTGGAACCAGGTACAATATAAAAGTGGAGTCTGGGTCTAAGATGTAGCAAATATTCCCATTCCAAAGGAGAGTTATTTGTGGAAGGAAAGGACAGTGTACTGGGAATCCTATCTCCTCCATATACCTTCAAGTAGAAGCAGAGAGTCCTGGCCCCTCACTTAATGTAGTAGAATGGTTCATATATCCATGTCCTAATCCCTGCAACTCAAACATGTCCTCTCTCTGGAGCTGACCACACCCTTTCAAAAGAGACCACACTCCATCTTGGGGGGAAAAAAAACTTCTCTCCCAAAGGAAAACTATATCCCCTACCACCAAATGCTTGCTGTATCCCAAGAAAGATCAAACCTACTCCTACTGATCCCTACAGCTCACTTTTCCCCCTACCCACCATGACTTAATAGCTTGTCCTCTTTACCTACAAATGTGACTTTACTTGGAAAAAAAAGGATCTTTACAGATGTGGTTAAATTAAGGATCAAGTCAAGAATGGTAGTGCATACCTTAAATCCCAGCACTTAGGAGACAGAGTCAAGCAAATCTCTCTAAGTTCAAGGCCAGCCTGATCTACATAGTAGTAAGAACCAGTCTCACAAAAATTAAGGCCCTCAAATTGAGATCATCATAAGTTACATGGGTGGGCCATCACCCCAATAACAAGAACCCTTCTCAAAGACAGATGAGACAGGACTGGAAATGTAGTTCAGTGGTAGAGCACTTACCTAGCATACACAAGGCCCTGGGTTCAATTCCCAGCTCCTCACATACACACAAAAGAGACAGAAGAGAGAAGGAAAACATACAGGAAGACAGGCATGGGAAGACAGAAGCTGAGAATAGACTGATATAACCACAAACTAAGGAACAACTGAGCCACCAGCAGCATCAACAGCTAAAAGACACAGGAAGGATGCTCTTGTACAATTTGCAGATGGAGTGTGGCTTTGTTGACCCTCTGGTTATATTTCCCTGGCCTCCAGAACTGTGAGATATCAAATTTCTGTTGTTTTATGCTACCAGGCCTGTGGACATTTCTTATAGGACTCACAGGAAACTCAAATACTTGGTAAGAGAGACTTCAGGAGATGATACTGTACGTGAGGACAGAAGAGAACCCTGGTGTCTTCTGTATGCTAAGAATTTTGAAAGTGGGACTTGGGTTGTCAGTGTGAGACACATGACCCCTGATCTGTTTAGGTTGGCTTGTAAGTCAAATGGAGGACATGCAGGGCAGAGTTTACCTAGAGACTTTCTAAATCCTGCCTGATTGACTATCAGGAAGAGTATAATTTCAATGCAAGCTTCCAGAAGTGGGCCTTCAGTAAGGGAGGACACCTGTAACACTTGAAGAATCTTGGCTATTTACACTAAAAGTGTTGATACCCATAGATCCATTTGCCTGAGCTCACCCAGCTGACCCTTCCCTCTTCTTCACCTTTCTTCCTTCAGCTTCCAGAAAAGCCTCTTCTGGTGTCTCTCACTCCCTCAAAGGATGATCCTGCTGAGGCCCTTTCACTGAGTTCCCATTCCTTCATGTTGAGGTGCCTGGGGGCCTATTTCCTAACTACATTCACCCCTGCAGCAATTCTAGCCAGTCTCATGGTTTTAACCCAAATTTTAATGTTGATAATATCGCAAACAGTTCTCACTTCTGAATTCCAGACTCACATATCAAAATACTTGGATGTTTAGAAGTCTACTCAAGGGGCTAGAGAGATAGTTCAGCTGTTAGGAGTGCTCAATGCTCTTCCAGAGGAGCCAAGTTTACTTCCCAGTACCCATGTTGGGTAGCTCATAACCATCGATAACTCAAGCACCAGGGATCTAATGTACTCTTCTTCTGGTCTCCTAGGCGTGTGCACATGCGTAAACACACACACACAAAGAGGTAGTTTCAAAATTCATTTCTCAGGGCTAGAGGTATAGCTCAGCAATAAAGCACTTGCCAAACATTCACCAGATCCTGGATCCCAGCACTACCCAAAAAAGTGAGTCTCCCAAATCCACTTCTACCCACAACTTCCCTTACTATCAGCTGAAAACAAATCCATCCCCCAATTATCAGAACAAAAAGCTTGAGTATTTCTGTGGTTTTGTTTGCTTGTTTGTTCAAATAGTTTCTCTGTTCCTTTTCTTCTCCCTCCCTCATCATAACAAATTCATGAAGAACCTCTATAAACATTAAGTATTTTAAGTGCGATAATAGTATTGTAGTTATGTTTATTTAGAGTCCTTTCTGAAAGAGATGCATAATGAAATACTCACATGTCTGAAATTCACTGCATAATAAAAGGGAGATGCCTAAGGATATATCCAAAAGAAATGAAAACACAAGTCCATATATAAATGATCACAGCAGCAGCATTACTCAAAGCAGCCAGAGGGGAAACAATCCAAATGTCCATCAACTGATAAATAAGCAAAATCTAGCCGGGCGGTGGTGGCACATGCCTTTAATCCCAGCACTTGGGAGGCAGAGGCAGGCAGATCTCTGTGAGTTCGAGGCCAGCCTGGTCTACAAGAGCTAGTTCCAGGACAGGAACCAAAATGCTACAGAGAAACCCTGTCTCGAAAAGCCAAAAAAAAAAAAAAAAAAAAAAAAAAACTAGTACAGCCACATGCCAAAACAATAACACATGCTCTAAACTGCTAAGAGAAATGTTACCAAACGCTAAATACTGTATGTACTTCCACTCATAATAAATATCCAAAAACATGTAAATCCAGACAGAAAGTAGTTTAGTGGTTACTTAGATTAGGTGGATTGGAGTTTCTTAGGATTTCTTTTGGGGGTGATGATGATGTTCTGCAATTAGTGATGCACACTCCCATGAATCCACTAAAAAACACTGAATTAAAGACCTTAAATGTGTGAATTGTAGCCAGGTGTGGTGGTATACTTCCCAGAACTTGGGAAGTAAAAGCAGGAGGGTTAGAACTCAAAAGAATGGGATCCTCATGAGACTCTATCTCCAAAAATTTTGAATTATGGGCAAGTGAGATATCTCAGTGGATAAATGCCCTTGTTATGCAAGCCTAGAGATCTGAGAACACATATAAAGGTGGAAAGGAGAGAGTTGGCTCAACAACATTGTCCTCTGACCTCTACACATTCAGGCCACAGCACCTATACTATCTCCCCCACCCTCACCCCCCTACCCACACAATAACAGTAAATGAATATTTTTTTAAACGTAAATGGTGCAGCATGCAAATTATGTCTCAAGAAAGCTGTTACTGAAAATCATAATAGGTGGGGCAAGAGAGATGATGACTCAGTGGTTAAGAGCACTTGCTGTTGCTGTGGAGGACAGTTCCCAGCACCCACATGGTGGCTCATAAACATCTGTAACTCCAATCTAAGGGGACCTGACATCTTCTTCTGACCTCCTTTAGCACCAGACAATCATGTAGTACCCATACATACTCAGCAAGCATGAAGTACACATACATACTCACAGCCAACACACCCATACACATAAAATAACATCTTTTCTAAAGAAGAAAATAATCATGGTAAAGGGTGTGAATTAAAGTTAGCTATGAGTTGATAGAGAAAGCTAAAGAAATGTGTACATGAAACTTACTTTTATACATTTTTTTTTGATTTTTCGAGACAGGGTTTCTCCGTAGCTTTTGGTTCCTGTCCTGGAACTAGCTCTTGTAGACCAGGCTGGTCTCGAACTCACAGAGATCCGCCTGCCTCTGCCTCCCGAGTGCTGGGATTAAAGGCGTGCTCCACCACCGCCCGGCTACATTTTTAAAGTTTTCAATAATAAAAGGCTGACAGCACTATCATCTTCCCCATGGATGACTGCAAAAATCTCTTTACAAATCACAATGCTTTGCTTCTTCCCTTGCCCTTTACAATCAACCGACCCCACTGGGACCAGTTACCTCAAAGATAACTCAGACTACTTCTCCCTTCTACTAAGAACCCTATCAGAGTTCCCATTTCTCCCAGTGCAAAAAACAAAGTCTGTACAACAGCCTACAAGGCCCAATACTACCTATTTCCCCTTCTTTCCTTCCTCTCCACCAACTATTCCTCCCTCACTGCTTCTGCTACCGGTCCTTCATTTTTTCTAAGAAATACTAAGACAACACATTCATTCTCAGATCAGATCAATGGTATGAGAACAGACCAATCAATTACTAATCATTTGCAAAGTGAGCAGAGGTGCATAAGATATTTAGCTGTCAAGATACACTTGAAAACTTTTTAAAGACTTCAAATGCACTCAAGTTTGATAAACAGCTTGGCCTAGTGGCGCACACCTATTACTCCGGCACTCGAAAAGGCTGAGGGAGGAGAATCTTGAGTTCGAGGTCTGCCTGGCCCACATCGCGAGACATTGTTTCAGAAAACTAAGTTTGATCAACAGAAAAATGTCTCCGAAGCCTTTAGGCGACAGATGCAGCAGAGGGAAGCTGGGTCGCGAATCAGCACTCCTGAACCAACGCTCTAAAAGCATGCGAAAGCTTGCGACAGAACAAACTGGGCCCAAGGGGGGTAGGGTGGGGACTCAGGAGCCTCGGAAGCTGCGGAACGGCCACGGATGGAGCCCTGTCTTTGGAGAAGAGGACCGCACCTGTCAGCAAAGTCAGCCAGAAGTGAAGAGGGCGGGAACAGCGGGATCCGACCTCTCAGACTGAATCGGAGCTCCCAGAAAGTCGTAGTTTAAGCGGTCACCCTTCCTTTGTCGGCTGTGGAAACTCCCGCTTCCGGCTTCCGGTGTCGTAAGTGTGGGATCCGGAAGTAAAACACAGACTCGAAACCGTGGAGGTTAACTGTAGATGCGAAGCTAAATTAGTGCTGCATCTTGCTCAGAAGAGAAGCCTCAGAGCTCCAGCCTGCGTTGGCCATCCGAACAGCGAAACGCTCCTCACTGATAAACATCACCTCCACGCAAACTCTTTTTTTGAGACATGGTCTCTCTCCTAGCTGTCCAGGCTGGCCTCTGAATTCACAGCGATCTACCTGCCTCTGCTTCCCGAGTGCTTGGGATTAAAGGCGTGCGCCACCACACCCACACTCGCCCCCACTCCCACTCCATTTTCAAGGCGTCGCATCCACACTGAAACATCTTAGTTTAAGTCTGGTCACTGGGCTCTCTATCACTGAGTCCCTACGGTGAAAAAAGCTTAGAAGAAGCTGCGAAACGAAGCCAAACCGATCACAAGGGGGGGCGTGGCTATGCTACTAGCGGAAATGGGGTCATACTGGAGGGCGCAGGGACACGAGGGTCCACCGAAAAAACAGACCATACAGTGTGCCTGGGGTGGCGATGGGGACCCAGAAAAACTGTGCGGAGCTGCACCTATGCCAGCAAGGCATCGCTATCGCGGAGCAGGAGAAGCAAGGACTGCCAACAGGATAAGGCTTGCAAGGGCTGCGTGCGCATTTTACTTCTACTCCTCTCCCCTCCCTCACCGATGAAGTAGTCGGAAGCTCCTCCCCTTCTGCCTCTCCTGAGGCGGGTCAGCTCAGCCAAAGCACCCGCCCTCCTGCGTTAAATGGGCCAGTGAAGGGCAGCCCCCCGGAAACGAGCTGTGCACTCCAGAACTGTGAACCTGTTTGGCAGCATCAACTAAACGCAGGTAAAGGGGTGGTCTGATGGCACACCGGTGGAGGGATGTGCGCCGCGTGTCACTTTGATTCGCTCTATTTGTCATGCTTGGATATGGAAGAAAATCTACGAGGTCTTAACCTATCCCTTTGTACCCCACACTTCCCCGCATTGGGCCCATAAGAACTAGACTTTTAGAAGAGAAGGAACTTTCCGGGATCACCTAGCTTGGCTAGAAGAGAGCTGGAGCTGAACTCCATCATCTGCACAAACAAGCTCAGTTCATTGTGGTGTTTCTGACAGAGTGCGATGGCCCCAGACACAGTGCGATGCCCTGGCCGGATTTTATCTCGCTTCCCAGAGTGGATGCACTAACTGAATTACATTAATGCTTATAGTGATTTCGTAATGTACAGCCCCCCGAGAAGACAACATACGGGGGTATGGCTGAAGCCCAGAGGCGGCAGTTTCTGACTCTGCATGTGCGAGCACACACAGCATTCCCAGTCAGTAGCTTCAGTCAGTAATCAGTCATTAGCCTGGTGAGAGCCCATAGGACCCTTGGATAAGGTTAAGTTGTCAATGCTCTTCTGTTCTCCTGCATTATCAATGAGCCTTTCTTCCACCAGAAACATCATGGCAGAGCAGGTGGCCCTGAGCCGGACCCAGGTGTGTGGGATCCTGAGGGAAGAGTTGTACCAGGGTGATGCTTTCCACCAAGCTGATACACACATATTTATCATCATGGGTGCATCGGTGAGTCTCCCCTTAGGCCCGAAGTCTGAAAAAAAAATTCAAATGTGTACCTCAACTTTCCCAGCTGACTGCTAAGGGGCCACACAGGTTCTACTAGTTTGAACTTTATGGCGTATGTTCCCACCTGTGTGTCTTGATCATCACAGCAGTACCTGCTGTACATCATGTACTTGTGTTGAATTTCTCACTTGCAAGGCGTTTCAGAAATCTATGCTCAGCAATTGAATGTGGACCAGACATCCATGTTATAAAGCATCCATCTAGCTGAACTTCTTCCTCCTGGATGGAAAAAAACTGAGGTGCAATTAGAGAATGCTCTTCAGTATATTTTTTTTCCAAATCTGTAATTTGACAAATGTTACAGTCAATTTCAGTGAAAGGATCTGAGGTCCTGCCTCTGCCTCTTTTCTCTCTACTGAATGAAGCTCCCTAGAGACAAACACCTCCTCTTTGCCACATCTTCCAAAACCTACTTCAGATTTCTGTTAATTCCACCTGGTTTCCAGTTGTCCAACTGGAACAACTACCATTGTGCTCTGTTAGGATAACCTGAAGAACAGAAGCCCAGTCAGAGGGGTGGTATTGATGGTACCCAGTGAGACTGGGACAGGTGGGGGCACCCTCTTATGTGCTATGTGGCGGGAGGGCATGTTCAGTGACCAGAGTTTGATGGCAAAGGTAAACTCAGTTGCTTGCTTTTTAACCCTGGAATCAGCTCACCCTCGTATGACCATCTTCACTATTAACTTATTGTGTAATCTTGAGCAAGAACTTCATCAGAACTGGTGTGTTCTTGAGAAGGTAGCCACTGGCTCAGCACCTTCCATGCTCTGGGCCCCTGAATGCTGGAGGAACTCTATGGTTCTTTGTTTATACATAGCATTACCACCCACTAAGGGCTAGGGCTGTAGCTCAGTGGTAAAGTACTGACCTCTTATGCATGAGGCCCTAAGTTCAATTCCAGTACTACCAAAAAAAGGAAATCAGAACATGCCACCCCCTTTGCCAAACCTGTTCTTTGACAACCTGGTATTTCTGAGAAAAACTGGGAGTGGGAAAACTTAGAAAAGGAATGCAGAAGCAGAGGAAAGGGGCTCTGCTCCTGAAAGGGCAAGGGAGAGACACCCCAAGACACTGTGTCCTGACTCCCTGTAACTCTTAAGACCCAAGAGAGGTACCCGGTCAGAACACACAGTACAGCAGTTCTACCCTCAGTCCTGGCTGCAACCTAGTCCCCTTAAAAGAGCAATGTGTGCATGTATCAACCACAAACCTTAGTATATATGACTCTGTTAGGCCCTTCGATCTAAAGGGCCATCTGGAAGAGAAAGTAACTGAGGATGACTTCCCCTGCCCCACCCATGCTTTCATAAGCTTGCAGCAACAATAACCCAAACAGCAAAGATGGTTTCCAACTGCAGGACCTGAACTCTTAGACACCTCATTGATAGCTTGTTGTGTGACATGGAACAAATGTCTACATTTCTCTGAGCCTTAGTAGTTTTCATCTAACAAACAAGGGCCAGCTTTATCCAAGGCTGATTATGTGAGTTTTAGCCTGAAGTTGAGCAACTTCATTTCACTGCAATCAGTATGGTTCCCCTTTTACTCTCCTCTGCTCTGGGAGTGAGAACTAAGGCTTCCAGAGTAGAAATGGGAAGTGCTAGCTCCAGCAGAAAGAAGGGAGTGGGGAAGAAAGAGAGGTTTGCTGAAGAGCACCATTGTTTCTCTCTGTTCCTCTCAGAGGGCCTGAGACCGACAGACCCTGTGCTGTGACAGCCCCCAGAGTATTTCCTGCCTGATTCTGAATGCACGAGGCAGGCAAGGTGCTAGCTGATCTAGGAGACCTGCAAGTTCTCCATTCATTCAATGTAGCAATCAAGTGTCTCTTGCAATCCACAACAGCCTCAGTCCCTATCCTCCTTGTGGGGACACTGTATTTTAGGAACAAACCAACCAACAGGGTTTTAGGGAGCTGTATGGGGCAGAAGTCACAAATGGGCTCTTATGTACTAAGGCTTCTGCAATACACAGGTCCCAACTTGAGGATAAGAGGGCAATTGTCCTCTAGGTTGGGAATAAGCTCAGTGTGATTTTGAGACTAAAAGGAATCCAGTGACTGGCAGGCCCAACCCTAGGACACTGGGACACACCAGGGCAAGTTGAGCCCAAGTAGCCGTCCTCTGCCCCTTCTTTCTCCCCTTCCTTACCCAATCTTTACCCAAGTACCTAGCTTCCTACCTAGGGGCATTCTTATGCTGCCTCATTGTAGTTACTCCTCTTTTCAAGACCCCACCCAAACAAGGAAGGAAATAGAAATCCTTACCATCCTACTCCAGTAAACCCTGTCCTTATGGATCAGTAGGGGGAAGAAACTGTGGACCTAAAAGGGCATCTCCCCCAGCCAATAGGACCTTGGTGAGACTGGAAAGGAGTTCTTTCCCCTTATGCAGAGAAAAGGAGTAGGCCTCGGGAGTCCATAGGGACAGATGGGCTTACTACAGGGTTCATCTTTATACATCAGTTTCCCCGCCTAGACCGTGTGACAGCCATAGACTGTGGGTAGTCAGGGTCCATCCTGCTGACAGGCCTGTGTGAGGTGTGACCTGGCATTCCAAGCCCATCCCTCTTCTTGAGTCATTTCAGATCTGACTTCTCCCTTGGGCTGGTAATATTCTTGCTGTGTCATGATGACCTTGGCATTCTCTCAAAAGCCTGGTGACTCATGGGGCCCCAGAGTATAGGAAGAAGGCCTTTTGTTAGATTTTTTTTCAACCAAAACCTACCTCACATTTCCCCCTGTTTCATTCCAACGGCTGGAAGCCAGCTGATCCCCTTGGAGATTCAGCCCAGAACTCCACCTTGGGAAGCTGGGGAGGGGGGGGGGGGGGTCCCTCATTCCCAACAACCCTTGCGTGTGATTTGGGTTTATAAAACAAGAGGTCAAACCTCAGCTGATCACAGGTCAGTTGGTACTCAGGTCTCTTTGCCCTTATCTGGCTGGAGATCTTAATCATGCTCTAATTATCCTAAGTCACCACACGTCTAGGTGTCTCCTTCCCCTGCCATGATCCTTGGGCAATGTGAGGGGGTGGCAAAGATGAGAGACTTCCAGCTACCTCTCTAATTGCCCCCACTCCCACACATGGTAAGTTTAGATTTTAGTTCTTCTCATATCCCTTATTTAAGATGAGTTCAGTAAGAATCATGAAGCCAGCAGGACAGGCAAGGTCACCCCCATCCCTGAGAAGAATGGCTGTTCCCCCCACCCCCTGCTGGCCCCACTGTCCTTAGTCCTACCTCACCTCCCTTGAGTGACTTGAAGCCAGGCAGGTTGCCGGTTGCAGAATCCGAGATAAAACAAGGAGAGCAGGTTCTATGTCTGGTTAATCCCAAAAGGA